ACTCAGTTAGTCAGTAGGTAAGTTATCCCACTAAGCTGAGTTTGTACTGAAATTGGACTGTGCTCAGCTAGCTGATGCTGGTTTACTGGCTAGGAAAAGAGTTGAGGGTCTTCGCCATGTTGTTCACCTGTTCACATTCACTTCTCAGGACCCCCATCACTGGGTTTTTTATTATTGCAGAATTGTGGATGAGAACTATAATTCTATAGTGATCGTCATTTTAAGAAAAACCAAAATTTAAATCCCTACCTTTCAAACTCCACGCTTTTGTGAACTGATAATGATTCCACAAAAGACTCACCAGACTTGGAAGCATTGGGAGAAGGGGAGGAAAGAGAGAGAGAGCTTCTATCAGAATTTAGATATAGAATCCCATTTTTGTTTACAAATGCCCTATTTTATTTTTTATTTATGTAACTTCTCAGTGTTGAGGCAATCTACTGCATTCTGTTGTCACAATGCTCTCCAGTACTGATATTTTGAAACACTCCTCCTCTCAAATGCAAATTTGGAGAGTTCACATAGCTCTTCTTTAAACAGTAGTTTTTCCTATGCTATGTGAGGTAAAGATTCATAATTTCTTCTATTCTCGTTTTCTTTCCATTTGGCAAAGTGGTAACAAGACCAGTGAGATGGCCTGATGGGTGAGGGCACTTGCCACATGAGCCTGACAAGGGTTCGTTCCATCATGGTAACCCACCTAGAGGTAGGAGTAGAGAATAACTCTACAGGGCTGCCCTCTGATGCCCACACATACACTGAAGCATTCACCCCAGGCCCACACATGAATAATACATTAAATAAATAATGAAAACAAAGTCATTGCTAGATTTCTGAGAAAGCTCCCAGGCAGATAGAAACAGTCATAAGCTCTGACCTATCAGATGTAGATGATGTCACTGCATGAGCCTTCTGGTAAACCAGTTTAAAAAGAGGGGAGCAACTTAGCTAACAGATACTACTCCCTTTCTCTCCTTTCCTTCATAGGAGTAGTGACTTCAGAAGTGTTCAGTTAGGGTGGGCTCCAAACTATGAGCAAAAAACCAAGCTCCACTGAATGAACACAGAGAATGGCGCTCCTAACCCAGCTCCATGTAAAGAGAATAGCATGATTTCCCTCCCTTAAATGTCTCTTTTTCTGATTCCTCTTATGCCAAAATAAAATTTCTAATTTCTACATGATCAGATAAACAGCAGCAGAAGATAGAAAGCTTCAACATACTGAAGCTTCAAAATTGGGACAGGTCTACAAGGCATGGTTAAACATTCTGTCATGCAACCCCTAGGTGTTTTCAAACAGCATCTGAAATCGAATGATCTGTTGGTGAATCAGATCAATCATTCGAAAACATGATTCAGTTATCTTAAAAGACAAAACGACCATTCTCCACGTCAGTTAGATTAATTCTCACATAAAAAATATGCATCTATGATTTTCCCTTTCGATCTTATCGAGTCCATAAAGTACTCTGTTCTGTTGTTTAGTTCTTACATGAAAATGTGCACTCGGGACTGTGTACCCCCAAAACATGGGATTTTATAATGGAAGCTAGAGGAGCCTCTGAACAGAAGATTTTGAAAAAGGTATAAAGCCAGCTATCAGTGTTTTCCTGCAATCCTAGCACACTAGGGTGACTGAGGCAAGAGGATCACCTACCTGTTCAGTGGTAGATCGAGCTCTGGTGCCATTTCTGTTGGGGGATCTAGCTACTTTTTGATTAGAACAGAGGCCTCTGACCAGAAGGGAATTCATGTCTAGTGCTGTAAACCTGGCCAATGGGTTGGGGCAGAGGGCAGTCCCTTGTAGAGAAACTATAGCTGTTGTTTTGTTAAATGGATGCAATGTGTCCATCATGTTATCTTCTAAATAATTACGTTTATGCCTATAGATTACTGTTGCTGTCAGCCTTGGTTCAAGAAGCATCTTTTTGCAATAGTCTGCAGTTAATGCAGACATTCAAAATTAGTCAAAGTGATGAGAACAAGTAACTGTTGAATATTCAAGCGTGCAGAGAACATTTATATCAGTCCTTTCACAGCTCAGAAATTTGCAGAAGAGAGCAGAAAGAACATAACAATGGGAGCTGGAGAGATGGCTCAGCAATTAAGAGCACTGCCTGTTCTTCCAGAAGACATGGGTTCAATTCCCAGTAAGCACGTTGCAGCTCACAATTGTTTATACCTCTACCTCTAGGGGACCCAACACCCTTACACAGACATGCAGACATGCAGACATGCATGTGTGAAAGATACCAATGCACATGAAAATAAATAAAGTCATTTTTTAAAAAAGAAGAAGGCAAGAGCCTGAGAAAGGAACGAAACATTGTGGGACACTGTCCTCTGATGATAACTTGGTCATGGCCCTCGTGAACTCACAGTGGTTGGGATTACCTGCATAAGATCTTCACAAGGGTAGGCCTACTAATATCTTGTGGGAGAGACTCAGGAAAGCCTACTCCTTCCTGGGGATCTTGAGGCAGTCAATGGCTGCTAGGGGAGAGAGAAAGACATTCTCTTCAGTGAAAAGGCACTGATATGATGTTCATGCCCCTGTAAGCAACCCTAATTGAATTTATTGACAAGCACACAAAGGAAAGAGGATATGAAAGTAGAAGAAGTCTAGTTGGGAAGTGGACAGGCTTTAGTTAATCATGAGTGGGATGGGAAAACAGAAGGTAATGGGGATGAATACAATAGAAAATGGCATTAAGAAATACACAACTGTACACAATTAATACAAGCTTTTAAAAGCATGAAAAAGAGGAAAAGCCAAAACAAAAGAAGAAATATGAGAAATATCAATAAGAATGAGACTTTTTGCCAGGTCTAGTGGCACAAGCCTGTAATCTCAACTACTCAGGAAGCTGAGGTAAGAGGATTACAAATTCAAGGCCTGCAAGACCAGTCTGGACAAGCGAGACACTGTCTCAAATGTTACAAAGTAAGAGGAGGAGTGAGGATATAGTTCAATGGTAAAGCATTTGACTGGTATCACAAGGCCCTGAGTTTAATTTCCATTAACACAAAAAGGTTACATATATTGGATAACAGCTACTATTGAAAGCGTATCAACTGTGTTCAAGCTCTGTAGCAGTTATTAGGAACTAGAGGCAGGCCTTCTACTGATTCTAAACTCTAAGTTTTGATTGTTTCTTTTGATTACTGGTTAGAGCATAAGAATCCCTTAAAGAAGAAAAGCATTCAGTAGACTTGTGGACACATTACTGAATTAATTCTTCTCTTGTCCCCATATTTAAAAAAAAATGTTCCCAGACAGGAAAGCAGTTGCTGTTTTTACTCTTTTACTCTTTGTTCTTTGGGGGCCTGCCACCCAATTTCCAAATGAATCACACATAGACACGTATTCTTAATTATGAATGCCTGGCCTTAGTTTGGCTTGTTTCTTGCCAGTTTTTCTAAAGTTAAATTATCCCAACTACCTTTCGCCTCCAGACTTTTTCCTTTTCTTACTTCTGTATATCCTACTTTCACTCTTACTCTGTAGATGGCTGGGTGAATGGCCTCTCTTTGTGCTCCTCCTCCCTTTGCCCAGATATCTCCTCCTATTTATTCTCTTTGCCTGCTAGTCCCACCTGTCTGTTCTTCTGCCTTGCTATTGGCCATTCAGCTCTTTATTAGACCAATCAGGTATTTTAGACAGGCAAAGTAACACAGTTTCACAGAGTTAAACAAATGCAACATAAAAGAATGCAACACATCTTTGCATCATTAAAACAAATGTTCTACAGTATAAACAAATATAACATACCTTACAATAATTTTAAATAATGGAAAATTGTTAAGATGGCTAAGTGGTTAAGAGCACTTGCTACTCTTTCAAAGGACCTGAATTCAATTCCCAGTACCCACATGAAGGCACACAACTATCTGTAACTCCAATCCTTGGGGATCCAATGCCTCCTTCTAACCTTTGTGGCCACCAGGGATGCACATGTTATACATACATATGTATAAGCATCCATACATACATGATTATAAACATTCATATTCATAAAATAAAAATAAATACATTATTTAAAAGTTTAATGTCTCTATTTCTAATAAAGAGATTTGAAGAGGTATCTTTATGCTACTAACGAGTATCTCATTGATGAATTCCAATCAGCTCTGAATCATTTTCTATTGTGTGTAAGAAATTACCAACAACTTCAGTGGCTGAAATAATAAATGCCCAAGTATCAGTTCATGGAAAAGTATGCTGGGGAGCACACTGGGTCGTATGATCAAGACCTCCCAAGGCTGAAGTCAGGGCATCAGATGAGCCAAATTCTCTCAGGCTCAGGCTTTCTTCTCAGCTTTCTCTGAATGTCAGTCAAATCCAGTTCCTAGCAGCAGGACTGAGGCACTGCCTTTCTTTCAGCTATGTGCTTATCTTCTGGCCCAAGAGCATTTCATGGATGCTTTACCTTCTAGAGAGCTCATCTAGGAGCTGGGGGATCGCTCAGTGGCTAAGAGTGCTTGCTCTGCTACCCTGGCATTGGAGGGCCCTGACAGGTAGATTTCTAGAACCTGCCAGAAAATGTTTCCTGTAGAAAACTCTAGGAAGACATCCAACTTCTTACTCTGACCTCAGCATGCATTCCCACAGGTACGCACTCATACACACCTAAGCATGCACTATAACATAGGCAATGCACATACACATGCACACTCAGAGAGAGGAAAAAATGGCTGGAAGTGGAGAACACACCAGAAACCCCGGTATTTGAGAGGCTGAGACAGCAAGACCTGCATGAAGCCAGTCTGCGCTACATAGAAAGATTTCATCTCAAGAAGATAAAGAATAAGAACAAAGCATACCTGCATTTTAGTACTCAGAAGGCTTGGGCGCATAGATCAGAAGTTCAAGGTCATCCTTGGCTACACAAGGTTCCTAACAAACTTGGGCTTACAGAGATTCTGACTCAAAACAAAGCAAACTACCAAAGACAGCTAACTAACTAAGCAAGTAGCTGGTTTAATTCAGTATGGCCCACCTGGGAAGGCCTTTGTGATTCACTCAAGGATAGCCACATAATATCCTCATCATGGAGTGTCAAAATCCCAGGCCTCTGAGTACACCATTATCAATAGTCTCAACTGGTGAACTTCACATCACTGGACAGAATCTTAGGAAGCATTTCAGAATGCTTCCTACAACATTCTAGAACATCCTGTCATTTGGAAACAGAGTAAAGAGTCTATGGCCTGTCCAGGCATACTGGCACACACCTTTAATCCCAGCACTTGGGAGAAAGATGTAGGTGGATCTCTGTGAGTTAAGACTAGCTTGGTCTACATAATGATTTCTAGGACGGCCAGGGCTGTATAGTGAGACCCTGTCTCAAAAGCAAACAATCAAGCAAAAAGTCTGTGACCTGAACACAACTGACCTATCTGAAAATCAGGTAAAGGGTTTAGGGATATAATTCAGCCAACTCAAGGCCATGGGCTCAATTCTCCTACTGGTGTGAAAAGGCAATTGTAATGGCTACATTTAGCTCATAGTTCTGCAGAGGGAAGAAATGCCCATATTCTCATAAATTATCCAGAAATGTGATTGTTAGCACATGGTCACCTCCATCTTGAAACTAAGTATTTTACATATCCCTATGACAACACAACACCTCTGTTAGTTACTTTCATTGTTGCTGTAGCAGAATGCCTGAAATAAACAGCTTACTGTAGATATGAGGGAGAGATTCCAGAGGCATCTGCAGGAGGCCAGACTGAACTATGCCTCAAGAGTAAGCAGAACAGGGGGGGCAGGTGTGTGTGTGTGTGTGTGTGTGTGTGTGTGTGTGTGTGTGTGTGTGTGTGTGTGAGTGTGTGTGTGTGTAGGGATGGATGGTGGAGGAAGAGAAGAGAGAGAACCAATAGTCACACAAAGGTTTACACTGAAATGTGCTTGATTTTGAACCATTTCATTTTAATATCCGTAAGGAGAAACACTATAAACACAAGGCCAAGGCCCCGGACACTTAGCAGGGTTGCGAAAGCTGTTAATACCAAATTTGTGTAAGGCTCCTCCGAGGCTGAAATAGCAGAAAAGAGAAGCTTGGGGAAGGGAAGCAGAAGCCCAGCCCCTGAACTGGAGAGCTTTGGTGTACGTGACAGAGAAATGCTGAGAGGAGCCATGGGTACTGAGTGATCCTGTCCAAGGGTTCTTTGGAACCTGGCATTGAGTTGAGAGTGAAGAGTACACATCACATTTCCTTCAAACTAGAGTGAAAAGAGATGAACAACTCTGCCCATTCTTCCCCCATGCGAGGGTTTGGGGCTGAGGCTCCTTCCTGCTTAGCTCTGAACACAGTCTGTAGATGGCAGCCATGAGGAGACTTCCTCATATGGCTCATTCTTCAGTGTGACTTAATGGCAACGACACTTCTCTTGGTTTCCTTTATGGTCTCATGATCCACGTGATAGCCTTTATCAAGCCCATTCCAACTAAGACTAGCCCAGGTGAACTCTGTTATTTGCAGTAAGAACCTTGACCAAGATGATAATTATAGCCGACTTCAGGCTCAGTAGCATTGCCCTCAAGAAATGCTTAGCCGATGGGGCCAGGTTAGAAGCTACTGTGAGAGTCAGACCCCTGCAACAGTAGGAAGAGTTGCTGTAGAGAACTGCGGTCACATGGAAGTGAAGAGCTTGGCAAGCCTGGGAAGACCAAGTTCCTAATAATTAAGAGGAGGAGACCATGTAGGTAAAAAAAACAAAAAATCCAGATTAGCCTGGATGCTTCTATTATAGAAGCAAAGGCAGTGTGATAGTTAATTTCATATGGCAATTTACCTAGATCAACTGTATTCAATTATTTGGTTTCAATGGAGGCCAGGGTGTAGCTATGAAGTTATTTATTAGTCACTTATTTATTTATCTATTTATTTACATATTTGTATGTATGTATGTGTATGGGGTACACATATACACACAAGGAAGCCAGAAGACAACCTTGAGCATCCATCCTTTGGTTCTGTAAAACTTTTCTTATTTTTTCCTTTTTTTTTTTGTTTGTTTGTTTTAGAGGGTGCTAAGAGAGAATCTCTCACCACCCTGGTATTTGTTTAGCAGAATAGGGGAGTCTCCCATGAGCCCAGGGATCTACTCTCTCCATCTTTCCACCACTAAGATTATAAATGTGCACCAGCACAATCAGATTTTTAAAAAGTTTGCTTTATTTAATATGTATGTCTTTCTTGTATGTATATATGTGCATTACATGTATGCCTAGTGTCTGAAGAGGCTATGAATAATTGTGAGCCACCCTGTGGGTGTGGGAGTTGAACTCCAGTCCTCGAAAGAACAAGTGCTCTTAACCGCTGAGCCATCTCTCCAGTCCCCACAAACAAATTTTGTTGCCTGAGTTCTAGACATAAAATTGAGGTCCTCAGGTTTTCAGGGCAAGCTATTTACCAACTGAGGTATCTCCCCTGCCAGGGAATTGTTTGTTCTCTGAGACAGAGTCTCCCGTGTCCCAGGTTGGCTTCAATCTCCCTATGTAGAATAAAATGACTTTTGAACTGCTGATCCCCCTTGCCTCCACCTCTAGAGTGCTGTGATTAAAGGTATGCATCACCAGGCCAGATTTATGGATTTATGGGTGGAATCCAGGGCTTCATGCACACCAGGCAAGCACTCTAGCAATTAAACTTTGCCCTTGGCAGTTTTTAAAGGGATATTATACTGATCGGCTTTGAGTCCCTAACAAAAGTGGGCTTCACACAATCAGTTGAAAACCCTAAGAGAAAAAGAGCAGCTGCAATGGAAGATGGAGGTCTGTCTTCGTAGTTTAAGTAGGACTCTCTTGTCTTCCCTGTAGACAGATTCCGATTAGCAGCCCCTATGCCAATTCTTTTGAAATCTTTTCTCTCATGGCCTCAGAAAAACAGAACTCTGACTAATCCAGACAGGGTTGGCTCAGAGAACCACATGTCCTCTAAAAAGAGTGCTTTGCATTCTGTGGCCACAGGGCTACACAGACTGACATTATGACACCTTCTTATCTTATGGGTTGTTGAGTTACATCCCTGAGTTTCAGCACCATCTAATTTCTCTAAGTATCTTCCAGTTGGTGACAATAGATGGGACACTAAGACTCGTATGTTCAAACTCCCAAATCCCTCCGGCTTTTCCAGACCCAAGCAGCCCTTCTTGATTTGTCTGATGAGGCCATTCCGATCTGTCTTGAGTTCCAGGCAATAGCCCAGACTGACAATGGCCTCTTCCAATGTTCTTTACAGGAGAGCTAAGTTCTTAAGCCTGTAATACTATGTCTTGCCGTCCTGACTAGAGTCTGTCATATGTAACTCATACTGCTGTGGTTTGGATCTGAACTTTCTCCAAAGGCTCTTTCACGTGTTACAGGATGGTTCACAATCAATGGAATTCAGAGGTGGGGCTTTGACATTCACTGGCTCATGAATACTTTGACCTCTTCTGTGTCTTACTCCATCAATCTACTGTAAGGTAGCAGCTATCAGGGGGTGATAGCAACGAGGTCTAGTTTGAGGAAGCAGGATCCCAGTGAGGTGTTCTGGTTTCTCTCTTCTCAGCCTCTGGAATAATGGAGAGAACTGACCACAGACTGAAGCGCTGAAACCGTGAAATAAAATATTTCTTTCTTGCTGATTTTCTCAGGTGTTTAGGCACAGTATGGAAAGATGACAAACACACACCTCAATAAAAAAAATAATAATAAAAACAAACCTGTCTAGTGACATGAACCAGGAGATAAAAGTGCTTGCTAATGAAACTGATGACCTGAGTTCAAGTCCCAGGACTTGCTCGGTGGAGAAAAAGAGCTGACTCCCTCAGGCTGTCTTCTGTCCCTCACTCTCTTGATGTGTGATCAACAGGCCCTCATGTATTTGCACTCACACACACACACACACACACACACACACACACACACACACACACACACACACGCTCACATGTGCAGGCTCCAATACACTGAAAGAATCTCACTTGGCACAAGACATCCGAAGACCAAGTTCTCAACACAAAGGCAATTTATTTGTCCAGACAGACAAAGGGCAGGGAGTAAGAGACCAAGATGGGAGATAGAGGAGGAAGAAGAGGAAAGGGGGCTTTTGTTTGTGAACTTCCATATACTTTCATAGCTGGACCTTGGCAGTCAGCCTCAGGAGGAGGAAGTGGCCACATAGGGAATAGACCTTGTTGGTTAGCTTTGGCAATGTAATCTAAAGGTTTTAGAAAGGCAGAGGCAATGGAGAAAAGGGCAAAAAGAAAATTTGTTGGCACCATGTTTGCCATGCTCAGGCCTGATAAATAAATAACTAAATGTAATGAAAATGCTTTTTAAAAAATGGTTACTAAAATGAAGGAAGGAAGAGTGAGGCAGGCATGCTGACTCATACTTTTAATAGAATTCTGGAGGTTGGAGACAGAAAATTGCCACACCTTTTAGAACAGGCTAGGCAGTGTAGTAAGTTCTAGGTCAGTCTGGACTACAAAATGAGACCCACACCAAAAATTACAAAAAAAAAAAAAGAATTGTATATACACATAAAACATCATGACCAAATATGTAATTACCAGAAGCAACAACAATGAAACAGCAAAAAAAAAAATGTTTCTAGTTCTAAAGAACAAAAAATTCATCAAACTCCAAGACCTGAGTCTGTTAGCATGAATGCGGGACCCTTGAGAAAGAACCCTAGGCAAGTGGTGGGTAAAGCATCCTCTGGCTTGTCAATGACATCAGAAACCACCTTGAAAATAATGTACTGCATCATGAGAAAAGAAAATGTTATTGTGGGTTTCAGCTCTGAGCAACAGTTTGTCCCTGGGAACCCAAAGTCTCGCTATGGTTCACTGGCTAGAATGGGAGCCAAGGGGGTCAGGCAGCCAAATGAGTTGGTAAAATAGTAGACCTAATGTTAATGCTGCTCCACTTCTCAGACTTGTCTAGACAAACTCAACTGTCAAAACCCGTGCATTAGACCTTGAGACTAAAGGCTGTTATGATAGAAATAGTCAAATATAAACCCTAGGATCTATCTCTCTGCCAAGGTTTTAATCAAAATCAATAAATATAAACCTGTCGTAGCAAGGCATGACTGTAAACCC